ACCTACAAACCCCGCCCCGATGAGTCTGCTTGTTTAATGTGGTGACAGTCTGCTGTGACATGTGTCCTAAACTCGGTGTCTCTATCTCCCACCCTCAGGGCTGCCCACAGGGTGGTCTTTTCTCTGCATAGCAAGAATCATAGTACATCAAAATGTTTTTTTTATTTGAGACACAAAAATGCAAAATTGCTGAGATATCAAACATTTTCCGATCCGCTACAATACTGCCACTATGTACAAAAGATCTGATGATAAATGTGCACACATATAAAAATACAGTATGCATTACCTATGTACAGTACATGTGCAAAACATATGGCATTCAAACATGATATGGAATTGATTTCAGGGGTGCAAACAGCAAATACAAAGGCATCATGGTTTTTCTTTTAAAAAACAACACAAAGGCAATACATGAATGGACCCCCAATTGCCATAATTTTTTGTTTCTTAAACGAGTGCTTTAATAAGCAGGGCTCTGTATATTGGTATTTTCTCCCTTTCCCCCCCCCCCATAAAGTGAGATGCTAAGACATAATGTGACAATGAAAATAAGAAAAACACCTATCACGTTGCATTTCTATTGCAAGCAAGAAAAGAAGAAAACTAAGTTGTACATAGAAAGGAAAAAAAAAACTTTGTATTACTACTATGTACTATCCTAAACAAAACAAATCTATACTATTTTACATGAAAATGATAGAGAAATATCTACACCTCTGAAAATTATAACCTTCAATGGATAATACATTTTTGGGACTGATTTTTGAGATCTCCTTAGTCTCAAATTTTAAATAAAAAGTGCCTTCTTTTGGCAAATACTTGGCAATGCCTTTGGTTCCTTTAAAGCAAGTTTGCATTACTATTGGTTGCTTGAGGTTAAGTACTTTTGGTAGATACTAAACCCTTTCCTAAATGCTTCTTCCTCCTACCAAATCAGCAACTTTTCTTACAGCGTAATGTAGAGGTAATTGTTATGAGTCTCGGTGATTCATGAACTTGGTTAAAGCTTCGACTTAGTAGTTGGCACAAAGCTCTGTTAAACACGACAGCGGTGTTGATATTGCCACTGACAAGTTTTATCTGATTCCAGACAGCACCTTGTAGAACTGAGATTGCCGTCCTGCTGTTACAAGACTGTGACATTTGTTTCAATAACGATTCACAGAGCAATGTGTTTGTGTGGAGGGGTAGAGTGCTTTTGTAAACATGTGCAGCTTTTTAAATGACGGCCTCAAATCAAAGATTTCCGGTAGAGACCCTCTGCAATGATGCATTCCCTTGAATGCTGACAGAAGGGTGATCAGGGAAGAACATATTGCCATGCAGACAGTCACTTCACACGTAAAAACGTAGCCTGGAAAGATCACTAGCAAGATCTCCAAAGTTTGAGAAGGAATTAATACAGCTGAATTATTTTCCAGTTTTGACTGAAGCCACTTTTTAAAAGATGAGCTGAAATGCAGTTAGGATGCTCTCCAAACACACACGACCGCACTGGGAAGCTGTGTTTCTTGATAAACCTTACCTTCCAGTTAATGTTTTTGGTAATTGGGGCTAACTCTGTGGCCTGATGGACAGTTGGTGTGGTATTTGCTCTGCTGCCCGTAGCCAGGATTCATGTTGTTGGTGATGGATAGGAAAGGGAGGGTTATTGTGAATGTGGTGAAATGGACCCGTGCTGCTCGCTGGTAGACTCCCGGTAACTATTCTCCCTAAAGTTCTCTAACCGTCCCTGCGGTGCTGGGCGCTCCCCACTGGACAGCAACGTGGGGGAGGCAGCCCGGGCATGGCGTGTGGTGTGCACTGGATGCTGCCAGAAAGCTTTCCCACTTCCCCTCGGCCAGTGTCTGCGGACAGGAGAGGGACTGTCCCCTCACTTGTGGGGACAGCTGTCTTGGCTGGCCAGTGGGAATTCTGAAAGGATGAAGCAAGCTGTGTGTGACCTGGAATGATCTGGGCTGAGGGTGAGGACGCCTGCGTCAGCTCTGGTGACAGAACGGGTGCCATGCTCCTGACACAGCTCTCAGTTGCTATCTTATTACCATAACCTCACTTACAAGCGGCGGCAGTTTGGAGGCAGAACCAGACTGCCATGGCCACTGCTCTTAAACGGCACTTACAAAGTGTCAGGTACATGGGTCACAGGACCGTGCAGGTTTTAAAAAGGAGATTTAAATAAGATCTCTTTAGTATTATAAAAATATTCATATAAAACAATCACAAATAGTATCTGAATGAGAAATTCTATGAATTCAGAATACATCTATGTACAAATACATGGCAAGTGCTATACAGTAGATTGCACATTTCAGGAAAAACACTAGAACTCGAACCACTACACTGTCCCTACGGTTCCTAGCACATGCTCTGCTGAAATGTACAAGACAACGACTCACTCTAGGCTCCCAAAGACTGTGGAAGCAGCTTTGGTATATCCTCTGTGCATCCCTCCCCATGACATGACTGCATACCTATATACACAGAAAGGTAACTTGATGCTACCGTGTTTCAGGAATACTTAGGGGAATAAGACTGGCTGTGAGAGAGTACGTTTCTAGGAGTTGTTTTCTTGGCAAGATGCTCTACCACAGTGCCTGTGACAGTACCTCCTCTAAACGACACATCTGCACACGAAAACCCAACCAGCTGTTCTGACGGGGCCTTTAAACCTCACCTCAGACAACACAAACAGTCCTCTTTAACACACACCTTTCCCACTGCATTCACCTCCACGTACACTGAGTTGGGGCAAAGGAGCCTTGGTTAGAGTATCATCTTTGGTCATGTCACATGCTGCACACGATCTGCGTCCTCCCTCAAACCCGGAACGTGTAGCTGGGATCCTCCAGATGCCCAGCTTGCTGCTCAGGCCGGGAGGGCCCAGCGGAACGGTGTGCGTAGGTGGCTGGTAGACTTAGTTACTGGACTCCTTGCCTTTCCTCCTCTTAAATGAAACGCTGGTACATGAAGGATAGCACACAGTCCAGAGAGAGCAGGCTGAGGAGGCGGCATTCTTTGCACGCGGTGTGTTTGGAGAGCAGCCTTCCTGAGGCAGGTTTCACAGGGGCTGGGAAACGCCCTGTGCACACAGCTTAGAAGGATGGGAACAAAGTTCTTCAGCGAGTCAGCAGCACTAGCTGTTCGGTTGTCTCCTACAGCCCCACTGATGTCTGGTGCTAATAAGCCATTTAAATCTGAATAAAGATGATGCTTAGAGTCCAAGTAGGGACCAGATAAGCTCCAGACAAAAACCCGTCTCTCAGACCTGCCCCGGAGACAAGCCCTTCTGAAAGGAGTGACTCGAAGGTGCACATTGTGCCCACGATGGTGACAGACCCTCTTGCTGGGTTTGGTCAGATGGCAGCATGCTGGATCCCACACGTGGGCGGATGACCAATTTCTAACAAGCTACTCTCTGCAGACTACACTGAGCACACCGGAACCAGTCAGAAGTACTTCAGGTTGGGAAGGGCCAGGTAACAGAGCTCCAGGGTCCCGGGTTCTGGAAAAAGACTTTTCTTACATGTAGTGAAATTTACAAACTGAAATAAGAATTTGAAATAAGGTCAGCTCTTAGGCAAAACACAAACCCAGAATGATTCGCAAGTTCTTTCCAAATAATGGGTCAGGTTGCCTCTACATGTCACCGTGGGAACAATCGCCAATGACCCAGAGAGCAATTTGACCCCAGGGCTCACACAGGTGAGGTGGAGAGCACGAAAGTATTATTTAATGAAAACCTCTATGCTTTTTAGTAGATTGCAGGGTTTTGTTTTTTTTTTTTTTTTTTTTTTTTTTCAGTTTTATACATTTTGTCATATACTTAAATGACTATTTTGAAATCATTTAGAAATCCTGTGATAGTTGGCATTTTAGAAAAATCTTAAGAAACTACTCAACAAATGTGATACCTTTTTGTCTATATAAAAAACGAATAAAGCCTCCAGTTTTCCAATCTTCGGCTTGAAAAGACAGTGAGAGCCCCGGTATGACATCCAGTTCCAAACTGTAAAGCAATGACAGGATGAGCGGCAGCCGGAGGGGAGAATGTCCGGGAACAGACTCCTCCTGCCTTCGCTTTGCAGCTCACCAGCTTAGAAAGATATTTTACACGAAAGCCTTTCCTTGGTTCTTTGAGATGGTCTGGTTACCTGAAAGTTATTTCTTAAAATACAGAAATACATGTGGCTCAAGTACTCTAGAAATATGCGACTTATTAAAAGCAGTAGGGCCACTACTTATGCCCATGTAGGCTGTACAAATCCCAACACAGGGTGCACAGATATATGTCTAATTTACACATTAAGTCAATCTAATCAACCCAGAGGATTGCTAGCAGAGTTTTCAGTGTCACCAACAGACCCAGACTTTTTACAGGGGATGGCTTATGAAGTGTTTTGAAGACATTGTCTGGTAATAGTGAAAGAACTTTCATTTACAGTTGGAAGTCTAAAGTAAGATTCCAAAAATCACAAAATAAACTACAACACAGAAATATGACATTGGTTTATGAACGGAACCCAAAGTCTCCAGCTGGAAGCTTTGCCGCCTGCCTGGCGCTCTCCGCTGCGGCCTGGGCCCTGCTAGAGACAGGCGCGGTGACCCTCACCTCCCGCACGGCATTCTTGTTTGCGTGGAGCTGTCTGCTGTATTTGGGGCCTGAAAGTGACCACAGAGGTTTAAATGTAGTTGCTTGCCAGAGAATCTGCATGTCGTTATCCTGCTCACATTACTCTCTAGGTTTTTATCTAAAGGTACTTTGCATTCTTTACTGAAGTCTGGAGAAACGGGTCGTCTTTGACTAGTGGTTTTGCAGAAGGCCCTGCGCTATATTAAAGGCAGACATTCACTGCTGGGTGCAATGAAACGTCCTCAAACTTGGTTTCCAGGCTGGACATGTTTTCATTGCAATGACGCAACTATAGAGCTGTCTCTAAAAACTGACCTTTTATTCTGTCTTCTTAAACCTCGTGAACTCAGACGACGAATCTGTGATGTTAGTCCCATGGCAACGGCAGGTCTTGGGGGTCTAGGAAGTCAGCAGAGAACATGCTTGGGGCAGTGGCGCTGAGGGGAGTGAGTCCCGACGACGTGTTGGGCATGGTGATGTCTAGCCACTCCATGTTGTCCAGGTTTGAGTCAGAGAGGTCCAGGGACAGGCAGGGAGTGCTCGCGGCAAACTGGGCCTCGGCAGTCTCCATGGGCGAGTGTGAGGGGTCCAGCATGCTCGAGTGACTCAGCAGGTCGTTCTGGAGATCCTCGATCAGGGAGAAGGGCTCTCGGTCCTCGCTGCTGCTTTGTAGTGGAGTAATTTCATTGGCTGAAGGTAAAGTCCCATCCAAGAAAGCTTCCAGTTGGTTCTCTAAGCTGGCAGATAAACTGCTCAGAGGTTCGAGAGATATGGGCGGTGCCATTTGGACCTGGGGCGGGGGCCGGGACACCACGGTGTTGACTGGCATTGTGGTGATGCTGGCTGTCACTGGTCTCATTTTGGAAATAGGAGAAGGCTCTTCCTTTATAGGGAGAGAAATTTCTGTGCAAAATAAATAGTAAGTAAACATTTACTGCTATTTACAATTTTTTATTAATTACTGAGTTATTTTACTATTTTGTGACAACTTGATACACAGCCCATCTTAGAGGTAGGAAGAGAATGGTATTGGCTTTTGATGACCTTTAGGAAGATGGATCATTTTAATTAAATACACATTTACGTTTATAGCATTCTGACATGCTTTCAATTCCTTTTAGTAAGAGTAAGCATTAAAAGCACTTGTACCCCACCAAGTAGGATGTTGTTTTTAGATCATTGGATCCCTTTCTCGAGCATTGTAGCTTTAAGACAGGGTTCATGTCTTACTCTGTAACAGATCTGCGATCACAGCAGCACGCTACCCTAACGTGAATGTGGAAACGTGGTTCTTCCATGTAATGAATGATCTGCCTATATTTGTTCTTTTTTATCATTATAAAACTCTGTGTCCAATTTAGCCATATCCGTTCCATATAAAGTTCTGAAAAGATACAGTGCCACCATATGACCTGATTTAAGATGAGGTGGGCCACCTTAGGTGTCTTGTTTTTTTCAGTTTATATAAAATCTTGAGGATTTGGTAAATGTCTTAAGAAGCACTAGCTATGTGCTATTCCTTGCCAAATAATGTAGAAAAATTAATGGACCAGTGTTCACTTAGCTACATATAAGAGAGTGAAAAAGATACTTAAAAAATATATATGAGAATCTGACTTGATTTCATTTATATGCAATACACTAAGAATTTTACTCAGCAGCTCTTCCAGCTCAGGAACTGGGCTGTGTAAATAGGAGAGACAACACTGAGGATTCCTCTCAGCTGGGTGTGTTCTAGGACAGTTCTCGTCTCATTACCTGTGAGTCAGCTCTGGAATTGTTTTGAAAGCTCAAAGTGCAATTTAGACTTATAATGCAACTAGTCTTATAATCAACGACTTAAATCTTTCTCATTGTTACTAGTATTAGTTTACATAAGATGAAATAATATACTCTATTTGATACTTTGCCATAAAAAAAATCATTCCTTTTAGAATATAACTCATTTCTATGTTTAGGCTGTAAAATTATTCTTAATCATTAAAAAAAGTATTTTCACCAAATTTGGCAAAAAGCACTTTTAAAATTTTAAATTCAAGGCACAAAATATCTGTTTCTCTAATTTCCAGAGTTTAGCTATATCATGAGTTTATTTTGCGAGGCCGATATAGTTATTCGCAAAAAATAAACCAAAAAATAAAGCTATTCACACATGTAGATCTGTTGTCAAATATCAAGAATTTTCTATATTATGTCAAACACTCTGACAACATCATTAATAAGAAAACCAAATAATATCTGGCATGAATAAATTTTGATAACTATTTAAAAATCTGAATAAAACTTTCACTAGGAAATTTAAGACTTAAAATATTCTAAAATAGCACTGTAAATTTTTGAAGTACTTACAAACTGGGGCAGAGATATCCTTGAGTTTTTTTGTTTGGTTTATATCCCTTACTCCTTTTTAAGATGACACATTATAAAATTGAAGATTTTCATTTATATGTAGAAAGTGTTTTAGAATTGCCTTTGAATATTAATCAAGTTATTAGATCCTAAGCTAGGTGACTTGGTTGTTACAATTAACTCGTGAATTGAAATACTTTTATCCCATTGCAATGGCTGGTACCACACATGGAGCAGTTCTGAAGTTTTCAATGTGGAATTCATATCTGTCTACTTTGCTATTTTGAGATGGTTTGTCTTTTTCAGCAGGTATATATCTGTGGGTAAATCTAACGTTATCTTAGTATTTTTACCTGAAACAATGGCTTTCCCCACATGTGGCTCTTTGAGTGTGGCTCTTCCACAAAATACCATGACCTGGGCGAGTCTATTTTGAAAAAGTGGTGTTGAAGTTTGAAATTTCTTTTGAGAGCCAAATTTTTTAATCATTGTACTGTTGATATTTGGCTCTGTTGACTTAACGAGTTTGCCAACCACTGCTCTAGAGGAAAACTCATATCCTGTGACAAGGGATTGGGGGTCTGATGTGACTTTCCACCTACCTCCACTCTTAATGAGGATATCAAAGAGGTCGTCCATCTGCTGACTGTGTGCATTGGAAACCTACAACCAAGGACAATATAAATTAGCTTTGTTTTATATAAACCAGGAAGTGTCATACAACTGGGAGCACCAAAGGACCTTACGGAACAGCTAGTTCTAATCAATCACTTGATCATTTTGAAAACACTGAGGTCGCCTGGGAAGTTAAGACCATTCACCCATGTGTTGGCTGACAGAACAAGAATGGGGCTAATATCCAGCTCAGATGACTTTTACACTGACTTGTACATTGAGTGCATTTTGAGAGGCTTCTCATATTTTAAAAATATTTTAACTCACTTGCATTCTGGTAAAAATATAAAGTATATATAAAGGTGGCCATCTATATTTTTTGAGCTTTATTGAGAGTAAATTAACATACAATAACCTGCAGTTATATGAATTATACAATTCTTTAAGTTTTGACATATGTATACACCCATAAAATTATCAGCAAAATCAAGATAATATTCTATTGCTTCTAGCTTCCTTGTGCTTCTTTGTGATAGCACTTCCTTCATCCCTAGGCGACAATGACTTATTTCTCCCATTACAGATTAACTTACTTGTCTAGAGTTTTATAGGAATGGACTCATATAGTAGAGGGAGTGGCTTCTTTTACTCAATAGAATTTTGAGGTTTATCCATGTTGTAGATTATACTTCAGGAATAGTTCGTCCCTTTTTATCGCTGAGAACTTTTTTATTGTAAGAAACAGAAATCTGATTGGGTTGTTCCTACATTTTGGCTACTACAGATAAAGGTGCTATGAATATTTGTATACAAATCTCCATATTGTGTGTAAATACTGAGGAGTGGAATGACTGGATCATAGGTGTTTAACTTTTTAAGAAATGGCTGTTTTCCAAAGTGATTTGCACATTTTACATTTCCACTAGCAATGTACGAGATTTCCAATAGCTCTTCATTCTCTCCAACACTTAGTACAGTGAGTCACTTTAATTTTAGACAGCTAGCTGAAACTGGTTTGGCTCAGTGGATAGAGCATTGGCCTGCGGACTGAAAGGTCCTGGGTTCGATTCCAGTCAAGGGCACGTACCTTGGTTGCGGGCACATCCCCAGTGGGGGGTGTGCAAGAGGCAGCTGGTCGATGTCTCTCTCTCTCATCGACGTTTCTAACTCTCTATTCCTCTCTGTGTAAAATCAATAAAATATATTTAAAAAAAATTTAGACAGCTAATCGGCCTATAGTGGTATTGCATTGTGGATTTAATGTGTATTTCCTAATGATTTGATGTTGCATCTTTTCACGTGTTTCTCTGCCATCTCTTCTTTGGTAATGTGTCTGTTCAAATCCTTTGCCTATTCCAGATTTCTTAAGCTTACTGAATCATAAGAAATGTACCATAAGAAATGTAATCTTTTCCCAACCATTTACTTTCAACCTGTGTCTTTGTCTTTAAAGTATGCTTCTTGTAAATGCACACATTAGTTATCATAAAACTTCTAAAACACTTCGTGGCTAAAAATGCCAGACAGTTATTATCTCACAGTTTCTGAATCAGGAGTTTAGGAATGGTATAGATGGCTAGTTCTGGTTTGGAGTCTTTCATGAGATATGAGATTATAGTCAAGATGTTGGCCAGGTTACAGCCATCTCCAGGCTTGGCTGGAGAATGTTCATTTTTTTTTCCATGCCAGTGTGAGTTTTTATTATCCTTATTGCTCATCTCAACTTATGGCATAAATTCAGTAGAATAATACTTAAGTTGCTTTAAAATGTAAAACAGATCCCAACTTTGTGTGTGTGTGTATATACACACACACACCCCCTGAGTGGCCAGATTATTATGATTCTGGACGCATAATCTGGGCACTCAGTGTGTCTGTGTGTATTAGAGGTCCAGTGGATGAATTCGTGTATGGGTGGGGTCTGGCCAGGAGGAGGGAACATGGGCAATTGGCCAGCCTGCCTGCTGGTCGAACTCCTGGTCCAGGGGACACTTTGCATATTAGCCTCTTATTATATAGGATATACACTGAGTGGCCAGATTATTATGTGTTCAGAGATCATAATAATCTGGCCACTCAGTGTATATAAATAGAAGGCATTTTATTTATTCCCAAATGGGAATTTTTTTTTACTTCAAGAAGAATGATTTTAAATAATGTAACATGCAATAAACACTTAATATCTCATGCAAAATGATTTTAAATATAATGTTACATGCAGTAAACCCCAATTTAAGAATTATCTTTAATATTACCAACACCGTACTAACATAGTATGATATCACAAAAGTTGTAGGAAATATTAAAAATCTGAAAATACAGGATTGCTTCTATTATATTCTAAAATATTTTTTCCCTCTATTTTTGTTCCATCTATTTATGTTGTTCATTATATTCCACAAATGAGTGAGGTTGTGATATTTTCCTTTTAACTGGCTTATTTTGCTTAGCATGATACTCTCTCTAGGTCCATCCATGCTGTTGCAAATGGTAGGAGTTCCTTCTTTTTTACTGTAGCATCGTATTCCATTGTATAGATAACAGTTATAGAAGTATAGCTATTTATACTTCTATATGTCCTCTACAATTTATTTTTTAAAAGCTATACTTAACTATTATCTATACAATATACATTCTTAATTTTTCATAAGCTACTTAATGCTGCATATCCTATATAATAAAAGCCTAATATGCTGACTGTTCGACCGGTTGCTATGATGCGCTCTGACCACCTGGGGGGCAGACCCTCCGACCAGTAGGTTAGCTTGCTGCTGAGGTCCAGCTGATCGGGACTGGGCAAGATGGGCATGCCTGGAGCCCCCCACAGTCTCTCCCTGACTTCTTTTAATTAATTTCCTTTTCAATGTGCATGAATCTGTGCAATGGGCCTCTGGTAAACTATAAAACTTCTGTAAACATACTGATCCCTTTATTTCCTGTATCCTTTATAAAAGGCTAATATGCTAAGTGTCTGACTGTCCAGGTAATGAAGTCAGGTAGCAATGCCTGGCTTCCTCTCCCTAGCGACTAGCCTCCTTGCAATTTCTTCAGCCCAGGAACCTGACTTGATTCATAGCCGGCTGATAGCAAAGGTCAGTGCTTACCTTGAGCGAGCCCTGTCCATTGTTTTTATGCATCTAAGATAACAGATCAGAGCAATTTTCTTTTCCTCCTAAAGGCACAACCACTGGCACAAGACCATGGAACCCCTCAGTGTTCCCTTGTTCCTTGATACGATCTCTATGTGCTGTAAAAGAGGTATGTGTTTCTCTATAGAACTTCTCCTGCCTCCTTAATTTACCAACAGTGGATTTCAGGTAACCCTCCTTAATTCTTGTCCTTTGATTATAATGTATAAAATAAGTTACAAAACTGCTATTCTTGTGGTGATCAATTTGTCAGTTATAAAAATGTGTAAAAGTATGTTGCACACCTGAAAGTAACATAATAGTGCATGTCAATGTGAATGAAAAGTAAAATAAAATGTCCTTTCTAATCTAGAGATTTTCGTACCTGACATCGTGTGTTTTTTGTGAAGATAGAGCCTCTCCTCCTACCTCCCAGAAATCAGTTACTGTGTGATCTCATTTATATACTGTATGATCTCATTTATATGTGGAATATAAAAAACCCAAAATAAATGAAGAAAAACCTCCAGAAACAGACTCATAGATATAAAGAACAAGCTGGTGGTTGCCAATAGGAAGGGTCTGGATGATGGAAATAAAAAAAAGGTATATCCACTAAAAAAAGTTATATACAGCAGAATATTAATAAAAGGATTCTGGGTGGTAGGACCACTGGTAATTTTCTCTATTTTTTTATAATTAGAAAAAAGTTATGCAAAGATTTTTCAAGAGACTAGATGTGAGCAAAACATAAATGTTTAGTGAAATGTTAGTAATAAGCTCTTCAAGAATAAAACTGACATCAGATTGTTTCAAAACCTCAGACACATTGATATGTCTCTAAATCTAAGAGTACTTAGAAGACATGGTTACAGCTGACTTAGTCATGGAAAATGAAGAAAAATATATCAACTTGTCTGTTTCCCTTAGAGGAGGATCTTATTTAGGAAAAAGGAAAGAGGGACCCATGTAACAATCACATCTACCCTAATACAACCCATCCCTCGGTCCCAAAGGAGACGCTAAAAGACAAATCCCAAATTTCTGAGTGATTGCAGGTTACACAGCTGTTGAAACCTGCTTGGAGGTTGGGATCTTTAGAGTAAAGGATAATGTGATTTAAACAATATTTAAAATGCAAACAAAGCCCCTAGCCACGAACTTAGAAGAGGGATTCATCAATGTGAGGATGACAGAAGCCAGTGGCCGCACTTACCTCTGGAAGAGAGGACTGGGTGCTGCGTGTCTGCTTGATGGCCTCCTCGTAGCGGGGCGGGTCTTTCGTCTTGGGGACTGGGCTCCCAAACAGAGAGTGCTGGACGACAAACTGCTGGGGTGGCAGGGGCGAGCTCGGCTGTGGCACACAGAGGGGGAGCACATGTCAGCTCTGGCAGGAAGCTTCCCCATGCCTGGCTGGCACCAGCTCCGCTTTCCTCACCATGGACCTCCTGGGCCGGTGAGGCGTCTGTCCAAAGACCTACCTGTGAGGCTGTCTTCGCTGTGATAGTTTCAGCCATCTCCCCGTGAACACTGATCTCAGTCACTCCCAGCCTAAAGCTCTGGCTGTGGGACGGCCTTACCCAGTAAGGTGTCACTGTAGCAGTGGCCGCAGGCTTACCTTGCTGGGCGGGCTCGGTCCGTTTTGCAGGGACGGAAGGGGGGCACTTCTGGACTGGAGAACGCTGCTGGACGTCTTGTTAACGAAGGGCTGCTGGACCGCTGGAGCCGGTGGTCTCTGATATGGAAGAACTGTATTGGATGCCGAGCTTGTGAAAACCTGTAACGAAGAAGTATTTTCCCATCAGTATGCCCGTCCTACTAAAGAAAACCATGTTTTAAAACAGGTCGGTTAATTTTTTCTGCCAAGGGCCACAGGGTATACAGGTGAGGGTTTGTAGGATGTGCTGTCTCCGTGGTGACCGCTCCTCTCTGCTGTTATAGCATAGACATGGCCTGGACAACATGCAAATAAATGTGTGGGGTGGGTACCGGTACAACTTCATCTACAAAAACGGGCAGGGCGGGATTGGGCCCGTAGGCATGGTTTGCCACCCCACTGAGCATCAATGGTCCCTTTGCTCATCTTTGGTGGCAGCAGATGGTGTTTTTTTGGGAAAGCAGCATTTCCTCAGCATAATTTCCCTAGTAAACGACAGCTGAACTTCTTATATTCCTCGCTAGGGTGATTGCATCTTTTCTCCTGGCTCTACTGCTGATGATGAGTCTAACGATCCTAAGCCTACTTCTCTCTTACAACCTTGCTCCGAGGTGCCAAAGACACATTTACAAACATAAATTTGGGACATCTCAAATGTAATATATTCCAAACTAAACTTTTCCCTTCTTCCCTGCATCCCTAGCCTCTGAGGGAAAGTAAGTGCTGGTTCTGTCTTCATATTTCTTTAAACTTTAGTAATTGAGCCACCAGTCTAATTTAGTAAATAGAGCCACCCTCCTGTATACTCAGAGGCCCCAGCTGAACATATACTCTGCCTCCTCTCCTCAGAGCTCACCTTTCTTAGAAATGACCCTGGGATCAGGCCTCTGTTCTTTGCTGTCCTAATCCAGGTCCTTATTATCTGCCCCTGGAATCCTGCCCAGCAACCAGGCCATGCCCCCTGCCTGTCAACCCTCCAGGACAATACAGTCTTAGCACATACCTGGCGGAGCTCTGCTACTCACCAGCTCCTCTTTCTTAGGGTAAGAGCTAACCTTTGGCTTACATGCAAACCTTCTCACTACCTGGCCCTTTTCCACGCTACCTGAAAGGCCACACATGTTGTGGCCATGCTCAGTTTTCCAGTTGCTTAGAAATTTCTCCAAATCCTCGCAAAGCCCCATTTAAAACCTGCCTCCTTCTGAGAAGCTGTCTGATCCATTGGGCAAAGGTGAGATTTCTTCCTGTGGAACTAACTGCAAAGTGTTCTGTTTAGTCCCTTTAAGAGCCAAATGTTTTAAGGCTTTTTACAAATGTATGGCCAGGTTATTGACATTTAACTGTATTTCACAGAACTGGTTTGCTCATAAAAATGTTTTATATACTTTATGCCCTCATATTTTAAGAGAGAAAAACTTACCCTCTGTATTTTTATTATAATGAGTATTTCTTAAACATGAAAATAGTGTGTGTGTGGTTATAGTCCTCTAAAACCAGTGGTTGGCACACTGCGGCTCACGAGCCACATGCGGCTCTTTGGCCCCTTGAGTGTGGCTCTTCCACAGAACACCACATGCGGGCGCACACGTACAGTGCGATCGAATCTTCATGGCCCATGCGCAGAAGTCGGTTTTCCGCTCTCAAAAGAAATTTCAATCGTTGTACTGTTGATATTTGGCTCTGTTGACTAATGAGTTTTCCAAATACTGCTCTAAACAATACAACTTCTCTGTCAAGACCTTTTAAAAGATTGAATTTCCTAATACTTAGTAAAACATACACAAAAATTTCTTTCTTTAAATTGGGAGTAATGATCCCTAATTCTGGTATTTTGAGATTCAGTGAATAAGTCCTTATTTATCCTGTCTAGATAATGTTTTTCTTCCCCCCTAAAACAAAACTGTCTCAACACTTGAACATTCACTAAGCTTATCACTACACTAAAATGTCATTTTCAGCCCAAAATAAGATGCAGCTAGAACTCTGCATTTTTCAGAGAGTCCAAAAGAGAACATGTGTGTTAATGTGCCTGTTCTGACCTGACAGGTCTTTTCTGTGTCCCTCAAGCTCTCAGTCCAGACAGCTCACCCCAACCCTGAGACATACTGACAGGTCTATCTAGTTATATGGGTTCCTTTATGTTAAAGATGGAAATTCTGGGGCTAATACTAATTCTCAAGGTTTGCCATAGTAAGACCTTTTGAGGCCTTGGGATTTTTCTGGCAAGGAGATATGCACACAGCTCCACCTATTGGATGGTGGGAAGTCTGGCAACTATTGGGGCTACTTAACAACAGATTTTTTAAGTGGAACTCCTTTAGGGGACAGTGAGCCCTAGATCAACAGCATAATTTTAAAGATGAGGAAACTGACACTCAGAGAAAGCCAGTGAACTGTGCACAAGGCCCATCATGTAGCTGAACCAAAATGAGAGCCAGAACCAGGCCATCTGGTTCTCAATCTATGAGATGGCAAACTGAAAATACAAAAACGTCTCACTCAAGAGATACATTTTCAGGAACTGTCTTTTTCATCTTCAAGTATCTCTTCCCAGGGAATAGCACTTTCCCCTACAAAAATGGTTAATTTAAGAAAAATTTAAACCCAAGAGGATTCTAAATATAAAGATTGAAAAAATACCTTTGAAACTTTTACTTAGAAAAGGAGTTGAACTGTTAAGACAAGCTATCTTTTAGTAATAAAGAACTCCCTTTCCAAATACTTGGATAATCTGCAGATAAATGGCATCTGACCTGAGGCTCCCGTGATGGAAGATGGGAGATGGAGATGGATCGTAGAGAGAACAAAGGGAGTCCCCGGAGGAGGCTCCTGTGAAGATGCTGAGTGGTGGAGCAGATGAGGGACCAGTCAGCCCTGTCTGTCACCCTTTAGTGTTCACCAACCTTTCTGACTTGCGGCTGACTGAGCACGTGCGGTGCAAAGGTGCCTGGTTGCTGAGGCGCAGTCTGTGCCAAGCCCGAGGACAAGGTGGTGGTTGCTATCTGAGGCTGAGTCTGGACTCCTGCTTGTGGTGGAGTCTAGGAGGCAAAATCAATAAATAAGCCAATTTAATTGTCAAAATCAAAGTTAGAATCAAGAGTTAGGTGTGAGATAACTGGTCATTTGGGGGATTTTATCTAAAATGAAATAAGATAAAATGTTTACTGATACACACTTTAACTCATTGGCACCTAAATTTTAGCCTTAACAATTCTGAACCATAGAGTTAAACACCAGACCAGTTATTTTCATGCTCTTATTATTCCTTAAGTGACTAAGACATTCATTTGAAAATTTTGTGAGAATAGAAAACTGAGATAAGAACCTGTAGCGACTCTACTCCTAATAGGTCAGGTGTCAATAATTTTAAGAGCGGCAGGGAAACTGAGGCCCAAGAGTCTAAATCCCTGTGTTTAAGCTGCAATGCGTCCACTCTATGGGGATAGTCAGCCACGTGTTGGCACACACAAGCCCAGAAGGAAATGCGGTTCTTCGTCTAAATGTCAGTCCTCAGGGAAGATTTGGACAGAAAAGTTTAGGAAAACTACATTAAAGAGCAGCTTTCCATTTCACAGACTTTTAAAGGTAAAATGGGAATTAGGTTTTCACCAATGCCCAGGGCCTGTGGGTCACCTCTGCTCAGGATATCTGGGTGGTCAAGGCTGAGGAGCACTGTACGTGGCCCAGTTTGTTAAAACCCATTGAAATCACATTACATAACAACGTAGGGCCAATGCACAGGTTACGTGGGCATAAAAGGACATTATACCAGTAACGCTCCACGTGCTCAGGAACACCCTCCCTCTAACTCTGGTGGGGGCCTTTTCCTTAATGCAGGCACCTTCCCATCGATGGTGCCTCTCAGGGACACGTGGGAGGCAGAACATCAGAGTCAAAAGGCTGAGGTTTAAACACTAGTTCTGTCCTCGGCAACTTGCCAAATTCAAGGGCCTCAGTTTCCTTATCTAGAAATGGGGCTTATCCTTGGATTTTCTGGGGGAAGACAGGAGTAAATGAAGTAAGCTATTTAAAATACTTGACGCTATGCCTTGTGCATTAAAAATACTCAGTAACAGTAGTTATCACGATAATGTCATAGGCATGTAAAAACAACATGTATAATGTGTTCATTAAAGGTAAAAGGTAACAGAAATAGAAAAGTACCCCATTTTTTTACTATCTAAAAAGAGTGCTGATGTTCAAATTCTTGAATGTCTCCCCACCACAGCCCACCAACACAGTTTTCTGCTGTGAAGCCTGATTTGGATGCATCTATGAAAAAGCTCTATTCCATGTGGGCTGCAAGGCAAGTAGTGAGAAGACAAACTTCACACCTGGAGTTTGAGGCTGCCCACGGGGAGCTGCACGGAGGTGACACTGGAGCCCTGGATGGACACTGGGAGCAGCAGCTGAGCAGTCTGCGTGGTCAGCAGAGTCTGCGGCTGAGCGACAACAGCAGGCGGTGGCTGTGCCTGGGAACTCACGTAAAACTGTGGGACCACGCTTGGCTGCTCTGCCTGGGCCACAGGGACCTCTTGCTTGATCACTACAGCCTTTTTGGCGACAAGGGTCTGGCCACCTACAGAGACAGGCTGCCCCACAGGAAGGCTGGCTACCGGGACAGGCTTCCTGGGGCTGGAGCAGTCAGCGAGTGAGGTCTCATCTTTGACAGAGGAGCCCACACTGCCCTGTTTCTGCTCTGACTGGCTGACAGAATGAGCAGGGGCGCTGGGCTGGGGGTCCAGTGGCCGCCGCTGCTGCTGCCCTCGTTTTTCAACCTCCAGTTGCATTTTCAGAACTTCCACGAGTTTCTGCTCTTGTTCCAGTTTCCTCTTTAGCTCTTCGATTTGCTTCTCTTTCTCCTGAAGCTTGCGATCCTTCTCAGCTGCATCCAGTTCCAGAGTGGACAGAGTGCTGCTGGTGGGACTCAGGCTGTCTTCGTTACTGGTCACTCTCAAAGGAGATGAACACAAGAACTGAGATGGAGACATCATGGTCATAATCTCAGTGAAAGTGTCGGCCATGTTTGTGTCCTCGGTGCTGAGACTGGACTGTTCGGAGGGAGATGGTGAGATCGGCAGAGGCGAATTAACATTCTCCACGTGGATCACATTGCTGGTTCCAGTAGGGGGCAGTTCTGCTTTGAGAGGGGAGCCCGAGCTTGCCACACAGTTATGCAGGGTGGTGACTGGCACTGCCATGGTGACTTCTGGGCTACTGGTGATGACAGCAGATGTTGACACGGCCACGATGCCATCAGCAGCAGCTCCGTTGCTATTCATCTCCTGGAAGGGTTTCAAGCGTTCGATAAGGTTTGGTTTGGTGCCTGACACTGGAAGACCTCTCAGCTTCAGTTCTGTTTTCAGTTCTGATACCTGGAAGAACAAACACATCAGCTCTCTGTGTCTGGTATAGCTTTCTGACAAATCTATAGGACGACAACTCCATATTATTGCACAGCTGAAAGTGGGGCCATTTCACTTTACAGCCCTGAAGAATTTGGAAGGCCAGTCATAATAAACAAGGGTTTTTAGAGGGCAATTCCTCTGTTGTGTCAAAGAAATGATTTACTACCAGAAATGATAACAGCTACATTTATTGAGTAATTACTATGTGCCAGACACTGTTGGAAGTGGTTTATTCTTTCAATTAATCTTCACATGAGGTGTTGGTATTATTGTTTCCATTTTAAAGATGAGATCAAGGAAAGAGAGGCTGAATCACTAGTCCAAGCTACACAGATAACAGAAGGCTGAGCTGAGGCAGAAACCCAGAAAGGCTGCCCTGAGATCACATTCTTAACTGTTACGTTTCCCTGCTTCTCCCAGACTTGGCAATGAGCAGGGAAGGAAAAAAACTTGCCTCTAGAGTCAGAACAGGTATGGTGCTGACACATAGCATATGCTCAATAAATGAGAGTTATTACTGGTCATTGTAATAACACTGTAAAATAAACTTAATGGATGTGAAAGGAAAGTACCTCTATAAGGGTTATATAGTTGGTAAAGTTGAATATATACCAAGTGGCCAGATTATTATGATCTCTGAACGCATAATAATCTGGCCACTCAGAGAGAGAGAGAAAAAGAGAGAGAGAGAGAATACATATACATATATGTATATTAGAGACTTGGTGTGTGAATTCGTGCATGGGTGGGGTCTGGCCAGCCAGGCCAGGGGGAGGGGACATGGGTGGTTGACTGGCCTGCCTGCTGGCCCAACTCCTGGTTAAGGGGACAATTTGCATATTAGCCTTTTATTAATTAGGATATACACTGAGTGACCAGATTATTATGGCTTCAGAGGTCATAATAATCTGGCCACTCAGTGTATACTGAAAACTACTTGCAAGACAAATCTGGCAAATCATCATTTACACTTCTGTGGTACAATGGGTAAACAGACTCTACTTGGAATCATCACCTTTAAGTCATCCAAACTGGGAGGCAGAGGTCCTGGCTTCCTCACAGGAGCAGATGCATTCGGTCTTGGTGTGTTAGGTGTAGTATTGTTCAAAGCTGAATTGCCACTGTTGTTATTTTTGTCATTGAGTGGCCTTCAAAAGAAAAAGAAAGTTAGAGTGTATAATAAAACTAGTGGCCTGGTGCACAGATTCGTGCACAGTGAAAGGAAATTAATTAGAATATTTTAATATCGCTATCTGCCCTTTATAATAGAAGTGTCAGAGATGAAAGAAAACGAATAAGATGTATATGAAAATAATATATAAATTAATAAACATGATATAACAAAGACATGATATAAAAACAAAAAACATGATATAACATTGATAAAAACGACTGATAAATTGATTAAACTTATACTTTCAGAGTGCTTGACTAATTTCCTTTGTGATGAAGTATTTAAAATTTTATCACACACTCTTTAGACTCAAAAGAAAGCAACATATAACTGACCATGTCCGAAAACAGGTTCAATTAGGAATATTGCTACTCTGTCTAGAGTTTGTCCTTGTGACTTATTAATAGTTATTGCAAATGCTGGCATCATGGGAAACTGTCTTTGAATTAATTTAAATGGGAGGCCAGTATCAGATGGGGACAAATCAATTCTTTGAATCAGGACAACCTCTCCTTCTGCAGATCCTATTAATACTTATATCAGGTTGCAATATTGTGATAATAAATCTAGTACCATTACAAAGACCCCACTTACTATTAAGATTTCTCAGTAGCATGATGATTGCACCTACTTTTAATTTTAATTTATACATGGCATTCCCGAAGGAGTATTATTATTTAGAAATTCGATGGAAAAATTTTCCTTTTCGGCATCATCCGTTGAATCGATGGAATCACTTTCAGCTTCAGAGGTACATTATAAAATAGTTGGTCTTCAGATACATTTTGTCGATGACGCTGGCTTCTTTAGGCTTCAGAGGTATGTTGTGCCAGTAGTTGGTCTTCAGACATATTCTTTTGATGATACTGCTTTCTTTCAGCTTCAGAATGTCAACAAAAACAACCAAATTCATGATTCACAATGACAAATTGAAACACATGTGTATGATTGTGCCAGTGAGAGCTTTATATGTATCATGCATGCGTGAGTCAACATTTATTTTTAATAGCCAATGTGTGTCATATATACCGGCTGGTCAGTCAGTCGCATGGTTAGTCACTTAGCCTTTTATATATATATATATAATTTCTGGATTTGACATTGCTTCTGCTAAAAATGTGACTATTAAGTGAGGAGGAGAAAAATACCATAGTCATGAATTGGAGAACTCAATATGGTAAAGATGTCAATCAAATCAGGTCCCAATAAAAATTCCTGCAGGTTCTGCTTGTTTCTAGAGATTTAAAGTGATTCTAACCTTTATATGGAAATGCAAAGCACAAAGAATGGCCATGGCAACTCTAAAGAAGGAAAGCAAAGCTGGGAGAGCCATACCACCAGACACTGATAGTTATTACATGATGTGGTGCTGGTGCAAGGACAAAGCCTCAGACACATCAAGATCAGAAAATGCAGAAACAGACCCCACATATATTGGTGACACCCACTGCAGTTCTGTTAAATGTTACTGGCCACACTGGAAAAAATACTGCTCCTGATGAAACCCTACCTCATATCATCTTCAAAAACCTAAATGTGGCCCTAGACAACCTATGGATGTGTCTTTTTTACATCAATGTCTGTCTCTCTCTCCCCCTCCCTCCCTTCTTCCCTCCCTCCCCACTTCCACTCTCTCTCTCTCTCTCTCAAAAAAAAAAAAAAAAAAAAAAAAAAAAAAAGAAAAAGAAAAGAAAAATATCCTTTGGCAAGGATTAATAAAAACAAAATCCCTAAATGTGAATTTTGAAAACAATAAAGCTTTTAGAAGAAAACTAGGATAATATCTTCATGGCCTTTGGATAGAAAATATTTCTTAAACAGGACACAAAACGCACTAAATAAAGAGGTTGAAAAGACAAGCCAAAGCCACTGAAGAAATATTTGTAATATATTTTTTTCCCCCGACAAAGGCCTCATATCTACAATATACTAAGAGTCTTTCAAATCAGTAAGAAAATGACAGAAAACCCAATGGGAAAATCCTGGGTAAGCATATCACAAGAAGGTATACTCAAATGGTCACTAAACATGTGAACAAGACCTTAACCTCAACAGGCAGGAGGAAAATGCAAATGAAATGCACAACAGAACACTGCACATCCAGAAGGATTGCTGCTAGACCAACACCGCCAATACTAACTACTTGGAACAGTCAGGACTCTCCCATTCACACTGCCAGACTGTGCATTGGGACAACCACGCTGAAGAACTATTTCACAGTATCTACTTAAAAAACCCATGCCTATCCTCTGACCCACCAGTTCCATTCCTGACAGATACCTGACAAAGACATACATTTGTCAGCCATAAGATGCAGACTAGGATATTTATTATGTCATTTTTCATATCAGCCTCAATTGGAAGCAACCCAACTGTCCATCAAGAGTATGATGGATAAATTACAGGATACCAGTCAGCAATAAAAATGAACTGCTATTTGCACCAGTGAAGATGCATCTCACAAACATAACGATGAGAAAAGAAGCCAGATACACATGTGTACTATAGGTTTGCATTTATATAATGTTCAAAAGCAGGCAAAACTAATCTATAGGATAGAAGTCAGGATAGTCACCGAGAGAGGGACTGATAATATTGCTTTTCTTTAAAAATTTCTAAAATTTAATATTAGAGCGTAAAAAGGAGAAACACTGATCTGCTGTTCTACCTATCTATGCATTTATTCGTTGATTATTGTATGTGTCCGGACTGAGGATCAAACCCGCAACCTTGACCTATCGGGACAATGCTCCAACCAACCAAGCTACTTGACCAGGGCTAATGATAATGTTCTAATTCTTCTTCTTTTTAAAATTAATTTATACATACAATGTCATTAAAAAAATATATATATATATTGTAAAAATATGTATTTTATTGAATTTTTACAGAGAGGGAGGGAGAGGGATAGTGAGTTAGAAACATCAATGAGAGAGAATCATCCATCAGCTGCCTCCTGCACACTCCCCACTGGGGATGTGCCCACAACCAAGGTACATGCCTTTGACTGGAATCGAACCCAGGACCTTTCAGTCCGCAGGCCAATGCTCTATCCACTGAGCCACATGGCTAGGGCAAAAATATACTATTATTGATTTCAGAGAGGAAGGGAGAGGGAGAAATAGAAACATCAATGATGAGAGAGAATCACTGATCTGCTGCCTCCTGCATGCTCCCTAACTGGGGATCGAGTCCACAACCCGGGCATGTGCCCTTGTCCGGAATCAAACCCAGGACCCTTCAGTCCACATATTGATGCTCTATCCACTGAGCCAAACTGGCCAGGGCACGTTCCACTTCTTGATGTAGGTGGTAATATGGGCGCGCTTACTTTGGCATTAATTTTTACTTACAATTTATGGACTTTCTGTATGTAAGATATACTTCATTTTAAGTTTATTAAAAAATGTTGGTTAGTCAGTTGTCAAGTTCCAAAGTTAGGTGCTTTTGTACCAATTTCCCTAAAAGCCTGTCTGCACCAAACTGAGGCCCATGGAGGAGGGGACACATGGAGCTCCAGGGCCCAGGTGCTGCCCAGGGCAAGAGGTCAACTGGGACCTGCCCTTCGATGCCAGACACTCACACTTCCGATTGCCGGCCAGGCCTAGGGACTGTGCCCATGCACGATCTCGTGCACCGGGCCTCTAGCATTCAATATTGTCCCTGTAAGGAGCCTTTTTAGACCCTTTTTTCTTATCGCTCTCCCTATGAAATTTTAATACCATGGCTATGCTGCAATGCTTATCTAGGTATTGTATCTATGTATGTGCTTTATTAAATAAAAATGTAAGCTTCCCCCCAACCAACTTTTGGTCCCTTGTGAATGAGATGATCTCGAGAATACATAATTTCAGTGAATCATTCTACTCATGCTCTTTTTGGTTGAAATTCTACAATACTCATGGTTACTATGATGAACAGTTCAGTGTTTAATTCAACCTTTAAAGTAATGGGAATAAATTAACCTATTTTTTCCCCCAAATCAAGAGGAAAAAAGAGGAAGTTAGTGGGGGTAAATGTGATCATTGTGTGGATGAGAAACCTGAAGATGAGAGCAATGGCATGACCTTCCAGGAACCTTCAGCCAGTGTGTGGGATTACAGCCCTGTGCATTCAGGCTCTTGTTCCTTCCATGGTACCAAAGGCTGCATTATCAAGAAAATCCCACTACTGCAGGCACTGAAGTACTTCCATAGTTAGTTTCTCATAATGGAGTTTTGGTTAAAAAAAAAAAAAAAAAAAAAAAAAAGTGTTAAAGCCAGCTCCATTTCTAAGACTTGGAAGCTAAACAGAACTGGTGTTCAGTCCTCGTGTGGTGAGACAGCACTGAAGAACCATGGTCTTGCCTCCTCCTGGTCCCTGGGTCTTCCTTGACGGCTTGGCTTGGTCACTTCAGTGGTGGGAATGTTTGTGGAGGACGGGGGACTGGAAGCCTTGGGAAAATGAAGAACTGTAGAGTTCAGAAGCCCACTCCTCAGATGTATTCTTCTCATCTACAAAGCCAGTCCCATGCAGCCAATGCCTTTCATTACAGGAAAGACTATTCCATAGACAGACAGCACAAAAAATCCTTTTATGGGGTATCAGTTGACCAGTTTCCTCACCTGGGAAAGGAATCAATAATATTGGTCCCCGGAGAATAACCAAGCGGATGATGATGATGTGAGGTGCTGAGCACACTGCCTTGGGCATCGTTGCTGTTACTATCATGGAGCCCAAGGAGGGCGAAGGCAGTGGGGATACCGCCGACCTGGACAGAGCAGCCAAGTGGCGCCTTTCGTTTCTGATGCTCTTTCAGCTCTTGGTCTTCCTGGTCCCTTGCCAATGTCAACAGCTGTCTCAGGCTTGCTTGCTCTTAAAATAATAACACGCTACAAGATTCTTCCCTCCTTCATCTCCGTGCCCTGATGTTGTAAATTTCAGTGCTTCACAGTAAAGTCTGAATGACTGACTAGTCTAACCTTTCTTGACATATTTGGTTCTTGCAAGAAAACATATGCGGAGGTCTTTCTTACAGAGAAGCTGCTTAGTGGGTCTTGCTTTCCACTCCCGGGAGGAATGCTTAGCCTTCTGCGTCTCCAGATCATGTGATTACAAATCGAGGGGCTTGAACTAGAGAATAATTTTTCCCTGTATGAGATTTGATCTTTTTCTAGGGTTTCTTTTCCAAGTTGAATATAAATATCCCTTCCTCCTAAAAAGTGAACAAAGTGAAGGATGGGGGCTTTGCATTTTTACCTGTTTCCTAGAAAAAGCATTTGAGGATGCATAAATTTCTTTTATTACATAATTAAAACAAGCCATGGATGTCTTGGTATGGATTCAATCGCAGAAATTGCCAGAACTCACTCACTTTATCCCTCCCAATTGGGCTCAAACTGTGGAAAAATGTTTCTTCTCCATGGCTGTTGGTCACAAAGACTTTTCATTCACTGTCTTTTGGGACATCTATCCTGTTCCTCCTTTTCCATTATCATTGCCATTTCATCTTCTGGGATCTACTTCACTGCAAAATTCCCAACTGGTTTTCCTATTTCCAGACCTCCCTACGGTATTGGCGTCAAATGATTCTATCCTGCATGTTGGTTTTACCATGTCAGTGCAGCCTCTGAAACAACTACCACATCAAGAGTAGAGCTGGCCCGATTTCAGGTTCCTGCAGACATCGGGCCTACTCAATTCTGTCCTCCACTTTCTTTAAAAACAAATCCTGTTTGTTATTCAACAGGCCATTTTTCTCACAATCCAATAAACAAGGCACTGCACTCTGTACCTCCACTCATATCGTCCCCTTTGCTCAGAGGGCCCTTCCTATTCCAGGCCTTTTCCCACATATACATCCTGCCTTTTTCATAAAACTTTGACCACTCCAAGTTTTATGGTCTTGTTTTACCAGCTCTTATGCTTTCTCATAGCATTTACCACTGGGCAAATCTTTATTGAATGCATAATTGTGAAAAGTCACTTCTAACTTTAAAATTCAAAGCCGACTTAGGAGGACAAAACCGAGTGGCATGCAAGCTATTCTCACTGTGCTGACTTCAGACACTGTATGAGAAGCTTTGATGGTAATAAAATAAAAACGATCATTAAGCACAAATAAATCACAACATCCAACCTTCAGTAACTAATGGATCCTCATAAAAACCACAATAAAACCCACTTTAAAAGCCAGCCCCAGCCCAGCCCCATACTTGAGTGGCGCAGGCAGGATGGTCTGGTAGTTGTAGTGCTGCTGCTGCTGGCTCAGGATCTGCAGCTGCAGGAACAGCTGCTGCTGCTGGAGCAGGCGGGCGTAGTTGGAGTCCAGCTGTGGCTCGCTCTTCTCACCTTTCTGGTCCGGGGGAATGTACTGGTGGTACTTCAACTTCTTTACCCGTGGTTTGGGGTCTTTGCATTTTTTGCTACGGTGCTTGTCATTTGAATTCTTGGGGTGGCTTTGCTATTTATGAGAAAAAGGGAATAAGAACATTTTAAGAGATGCCACTACATGCAATCTATTTCATTGTGCCTCAAGATTTGGAATGAAAAAGCAACGCAGCTTCCAGAACTGGAAGAGCCACTCTGGAAAGCAATATACCATATACATTAAGAGAGTCAGGAAAACATTCACATATTCCCTTGATCAAGAAATGTTGCTCCTAAGAACTCATTTCTCCCTCAGACTACAGGCAAGATGCTCAGCTTAACATCATCCATTTACATTCAACAATAGTTACTCTCAGTCTTCTGTGAAGACACATTGCCAAGTGCTTCCATATATTATCTCCCAGTAAAAAGATGTTGTAAATTAAGTATACAATAGAAAAAAAATTAGGTCCATGCAAATCGGCCATACAGCGGAACGACTAGTAGCTATGATGCACAATGACCTCAGACACTCAACCCAGAAGCTGCCCCCTGGTGGTCAGTGCACTCCCCCTGCTCAGCCAGAAGCTTTGCTCACAGCTGGTGGGCACAGCGGGGGTGGCAGGAGCCTTGCCCACTTCTGCAGCAGCACTAAGGATGTCCTACTGACAGCTTAGTCCTGCTCCCTGTTGGAGTCAGACATCCCTTGAGGGCTCTTGAACTGCGAGAGGGCGCAGGCTGGGTTGAGGGGACCCCCCCCCCCCCGAGTGCACAAATTTCATGTACTGCACCTCTAATTTCACTATAACTATGTAATATTTTATAATCATTACAAAATAATGGAGCCTGTTCAGTATGGCTCAGTGATTGAACCATGAGGTCACAGTGATTCCCAATCAGGGCATATGCCTGGGTTGTGGGCTCAATCCCCAGTGGGGGGTCAACAGGAAGCAGCCAATCAATGACTCTCTCTCACCATTGAAGTTTCTCTCTTTCTCTCCTTTCCTTTATGAAATCAATAAAAATATATTTTAAAAAAATCAATGGAGAATATGCAAAAACAGAAAAATGCTTGTAATGAGAATCAAGTGGAATAAAGGCTATGCATTTCTATGGAAAGTACACACACACACAAAAATACTGAGCAATGTAATATGTGCTTAACATTTTTTACAAAAATATATTTGTATTTTGAAAATGGTGTGTGAGACCCCATCTTATGATTAAGATTCAGATGACTCCTGAGTTTTTTTTCTCCTCCATTCATAAGTTTTCAGATCACTTTCTACTTTTTAGTATTCATATTATAACTTTGTTTGGGAAAAAAAAAAAGATCACCAACAAAGCAATAAGGTATAAGAAATTATTTCTAAACTTCCTTAGGTAAAATACTCAGTAAGAAGACTTTTGAGAAGTACTACATTAAATATGGCTAATGGTATCATTTTATATGTGTTCATATTTGAGTTAGGAAATTTAAAAAAAAATCACCATATTCTACAGACCAGACACCATAGCTATTAATATTTACTTTTTGTCCATAGATACCCTCATGGCAACTCCCTCACCTCTTTTAGATCCCGCCCAAGCATGCTTGTCTGCTTGGCAGCTCCAGTCCTCACTTTATCTTCACTGTCAGCCCTCTCTGTTTTGCTGTTTACCTCCCAGTCCTAATCAAGGTGGGGTGCCTTGTCATGTTTCCTTCACTGCTTCAGTGACTCTATACCAAGAACAGTGCCTGGCACATAAAAAGTGCTAGATAAGTATTTGCTGAATAAGTTAATGATGAATGTTATGCAATTAGAAATCACTTGAATTGTCAGGCACTCACTACACATCACAATGTTAGGAAATGTCCTTGCCCTTTAAAAATCCTCCTGTAATCTCACAGTATTAGTCAGTTCACTGTCACGTGCTTATGTTTTTATCAATAATACATTTTATTTCCAGTCTTTTCAAACTGAGCATAACAATGAATGGGGTCTGGGTTTTGGAGGTATGACTATAACTGTTAGATAATGGTAAAACACTGACCCGACTGCGACCAGGAAGCTACCTGCTGACCAGGGAGGGGACACAAACTCAAAAACCAGTGTTCTTCAGGCCAAATCTGCTATTACCTATTTACCTATTAGCTGGAACATGTCTGTTCTCTCAGGAAGTGAGGATGGGAAACAGCTTTCCTCATAGAAAAGCCAAACAATTGTGATCTGTTTCCTAATATGTACCGTCCTTTCCTCCACTGGCAGAGTCCTAGGGTTACCTCCCCAACCCCTGGACCTCACATTCTTACACAATGCCTGTGGCCGCACAACCAAGGCCCTCCTTACAGGCAGACATAGTGAAGAGGAGAACTTGGAAGAGTAGGAGAGGCAGAGAACAAATTCTCAGTCTTTGAGGGGAAAGATAGGTTGGCATTCAAATGCTCTTTGTGCCATTGTGGTACATGCTTGGGGGTGTGGGAGGAGGTAAGAGCTGATTTTATTGACGCGGTTGCCACTTGGCACCCTCTGGAATTTCTGGCTCCAATACTTAGCAATGGTAGATGGTGAAATATATTGCTATACACCCTTGAAGGCACATAGATGCAGCCACACTGACAAAGAGAGCCAGGAGTAGAAAGAGAACCTCCTGTCAGGGACAAGGACAGGCCCGGGGACAGGTGGAGATGAGCACTGTGCCTCTGAAGAGTCCTGCAATGGGTTAATGAGAAGGCAGAAAGAGGGCTGGCCTGGCACTTGGGAGACTGCGTCCTTCCTAGCCTGGTCACTTCACTTCTTTGGGCCTCAGTCTCCTCATCTGAAAGGTGGTGAGAGGGTTAGCTGGCTCCCTAATGTCCTTTTTTAGTTTGAGATCTGTGTTCTGTTAGTTTTGGCAAAAGCCACGTCGGGATGAATAAAGTATTCTGCAGGTTTTCCACTACCCCCACTTTATTTAACAGTTTTAAGTACACTTCAAAAAACTTGAAAAATGTACTATACAGCATGCATTTTAATATTCTTTGGGACTTATTCTGAGTTATTTTGACCAAGTAAAACACCAGGGAACAATGCCACAAATCTGCAACTTATCTAAAGAACAAACCAAGCTTCATCTGGCCAAATCTGCTAAATCAAAAAACTGTGCTTACTTCTTCAAACCTTTAACCTGTCATGTAATATATCTGGAATACCACTGAGTTTAACCTTGTGTAGAAAGTCCAGAATCATGTTACACTGGAGGTCTGTTTGTGAGATTCGGGACTCACAGGCTGTGTGGAAGCACCTCCATCCACCCTGTTTCCCTTGTTCCATCTTGATGGCGGGGAAGCGGGGGAAAGGGGGGAAGGGGGGGCAAAGGAGGGGGCGCTGCTGACAGAATGACCCTACACCCTTCCTTGTGCCTCCAGTAGTTTATATACAAATTTTGTGCTATTCTGTGACTGTGGAATAATAGGTCGTGTATTGAAGGTGGTAGTTTCAAATATTAACGCCTGGTCTAGCAAGTCCTCCCATGCTTTTGTCTTCAAGGCTTCAGGCTAACAGGCAGGCTAGGTGGTGTGGACACATGCCTTTGTCTTCCATGTATGGGGCTACAGACAGAGTCACAAGATACTCAAAGCAGTTTGTATGTGGAGTACCCACCTTTACCAGTGTTGGCCCAGGCTTTGCTGAGGACACAGTGTTTGAGGGGAGCACAGGAGCTGTGGACCTTGTGGGGGGCTGATCCGTAGTAGTAGTAGTAGTAGTAGTTTTCAAGAATTCAGGAACTGTTGGGGACACTGTAGTAAACTGGTGGAAAAGGCAGAAAGGGAACAAGTCTGTGAAATTAATGACAGTAAAAATAGAAAAACCAGAATTATAAGGCAATGACTTCATTTAAAAAAGATCCTAATACAAAAGAAACAAAAGGAAACTATTATGTTATAGACCCAGATTGAGGAATAACATGTCTTACCTCTGTAAAACCAAAAGTCTTTGCCTCAATACTAGTATAAAAAAGCTAACTTTAAATAGGAATAGATTGATTAAACTATAGTGTTTTCTCAGAAATATGGTCAGAATCACCCTTTCTTGACAGAAAAAAAAAAAGTACAGGACTCTTGTAAAATGGTCAAAACAAACATGGTATTCATAAAGTTTTCTTGCCTGACAGGTCTCACTAATCCGGGCTAATTCCAATGTCGTCTTTAGTTTTTGTTTCAGGGCCTGATGAGCCCCTCCACCACATCCAGACCCACTGCCAGGCAGCATCTGGGAGAAACTCCACTCCTGCAGGCCCACTCCTGCACGTGTCCTTAAGCTCACATCTCCTCCTGCTACCTCCACACCCGACTAGTACTCATCATCCTCTCCCCCCATCTCTTGCAAAGAAAATATTTCTGTAAAGATTGACCTGTTTCATGGGCAGCATCCTCACACTTAAAGCAAGAACTTAATTTGTTTTCTGGGCAATTATTCAATTTCAATTTGGGAACATATATTAACAAAGGAAACCACAGAAGGCTTGGCTAGGTTTTTATCAACCACTTAACAATCCATTCCAACTCTTCTTTAAGTATTCATTTACTGGAAAGAGATATTACTATTACAATGAATCAGTCAAATGTTGCCTATTGATTACCACTTGGGCTTATTACCAGCCTTATCTTAAGGAAAAGTTTCTTTATCACTTAACTTTTTCAAACAACTCTCAAATTCATTACAACAATCAAAGTCAGTTCTCTTGTTGAAGTATTTGGGTTTAAAAATAGTAAACTGTATTTTTGCTCCTTAAAATAAATGACCTGAAAAGTCAGAAGGCTATTAGCTGCAAGAAATATGAAGCTTGGCACATACTAGATACTCAATAAATATTTGTTTAATGGGTGAATGGAAATTCCTTGTAGCTTTACTCATGATAGGTCACACTCTCAAACCTCTGGGCCTGCATGCGTGTAAGTGTGCAATTATCGAATAATTGTGCTGCCCATGTTAGCTCTGACATTTATTATTTTGCCACTGATTTCAGCTTTCAAGTAATTATCAGTAACTGTAAGTGTTGACAATAGAAAAGACTTGCTTTTAAAAAATTGGCTACACTCAATTTCATTTTCAAACAGAAATGAAAGGAAAAACTTATCCAAAGTGTTGACACCTATGCTCCAGGCTGACTTCCGCCCCCAATGGCCCTGCAACAACAGCTCCTCCATGGACCTCTGGCACCAGATGAAAGCTGACAGCCAGCTGATCACTGCTCTAAGGGGTAGGGTTCTAAGTTATTTGTTTTCCTTTCACTTTGTACGTTTTTGGGAAATGATACTTCTCTCTGGGTCAATATTCACACAGGAGAAAAACATTCCTTGGCTATTAAATAATTGGCATCTGAAGTAGAATCAGATATTGAATTTTAAAATATATATTTCCTTGCAGATAAATTCTAATCTGGCAGCTATTTTTCCAGTCTAGTCCCCACTGGCTGTTTTGATAGTAATGATGCTTTTGAGAGTAGTCAGTGTTAATAATCTGAAAAATAACCCAGGAGCATGAATGTGGTGTTAACTGTAACATTTATGGAAATGTTTTGCCTATATTTCTTGACCCTACCTAACTGACTTCAGCCCTGATTACTGATACTCCCATCTTCATTTGGTATTTCAGTGTGACTTTGCTATTTGGAAAACCACAGATTCCAGCATAATACAAGAATAACTCAACTGAGATACCAGTGATTAACTTTACCTAATCTGAAAATAAATTCAGTTAAAAAGGAAGAAATAGCTAAATGCTTTACATTTTCCCAATCTGTTTCATGAGGACCCTCCAAAAAACCTTGGATTATATCTAGATGTTAGAATCCTACTGGCTAGAGTTACAAAAATAAAAATAAAATGTAGATATTAATGCTTCTTAAATGACAATCTTAAAAAAAGGATTAAGAGAGAGAGAATATCCAAGCAATAAAAAATACTTATTTTGTTTCACAGTAGGTTGAGAAATATGTTAAAATCTTAAGAGAATGCTTTAAATATGCGTAAACTGCCACTGAGACCTAAGTTCACCTCATGTATTATCGAAGTTCAGTATCAAAATGACTTCAGAATCTTTTCCCTAAAGAAACAAAAAAAAGCTGCAAACTTTGCTTTGTTTTACTGGATCTGATCACTGTTCTCATCACAAGTAATAGGTCTCATGACTGCTAGTTCTCTAACTGTCATCATAACGCCTTGAGAGGAAATGTCAGGAAACACTGTGGTCTCAGAGTGGATATTTATGTGTTAAATAAACTCAAAGGAAAGCACTTCCAATCTGAAAGACTGACCTTTCCCTTACTAGAAAGTGCTATGGGAAAGTAGTGATACAAAAGAAAAAAACAAGTCAGAGCAAATGTTTAAACTGACTAAAGTTTCATAACATTTCAGGCGTCTATACTGGTTCCTTCTGAAAAGATGATATACTTCCAAGGACCAATCACTTTTCTCTGGTAAGTTCCTTTTTTATTAGAATTTCTTTACACAATTTAAAAGGACAAAAACTAGCTAATTAAAGACAATTTTTTTTGTACTGTTGATTTAAAATCTATAATTAATGTGCTTTTATTTTAGAATGCAGCAGAGATGTTAATTATGATGGTAATATGCAAATAGATTCAAAATGTAACTATTTAAAAAATATTTTTTTCCGTATTATTCCAATCCCCAGACAAATAAAATGAACACTACTCAGTGAATAAGTTGATTATAAATAAAAACGTGCTTTGAAAATTTAATAGATGGAAGGATATTTTATGTTTGTATTTAAACATTTCATTTTTAGAGCAAGGAGTTAAACATTAAAAGTGAATTAACCTATTAGCACAATATCACCAGAACAGTTAGTTGTTACTTGATTGCCTAATTAGCAGTGAGGATTTGCATGTATCCCTTTCATTTTAAAAAAAATCTATTTTTAAAATAAATTGTGGTAAAATATACATAATATAAAAATTTCCACTTAGGCCACTTAAAGTGAATAGTTCTATGGACTTCAGTACATTCACATTGTCCTACAGCTGTCACCACCACCCATTCCAGAACTTGCCCTGAAACTCTGTACCCATCAAACCAGTCCCCAGGCTCCCCAGCTCTTGGCAACCACCATTTACTTGATGACCTCATATAAGTGGAATCATACAACATATTTCATTTGTGTTTGGCTTATTTCATGTCTCATAATGTCCTCAATGTCATAGCTGTATCAGGTTTTCTTTTTTTTTTCTTTCTTTTTTTTTTTTTTTAAGGCTGAAAAATATTCCATTGTGTGTTTAAACACTATTTTATCCACTCATTTGTAATGGATGGACACATGGGTTGCTTCTACCTCTGGTTACTGTGAATAATGTTGCTATAAAATGGGTGTACAAATACCGGTTCAAGGCCCTGCTTTCAATTCTTTTGGGCATATGCTCAGAAGTGGGATTGCTGGATCATATGGTCGTTCTATTATACATTTTTGAAGAATTGCTATACCATTTTCTATAGTGATTGCAGCATTTTACAATCCCACCAACAGTGCACAAGGGTTCTAGTTTTCCATGTCCTTGTCGACAATTTTTAATTTATGTACTTTTGGTAGTAAGCACTTGCTTGTGTGTTGGATCCTGTGTGTTCAGTACGAAGTTACTAAGGTAAAATTATGGGACATCCCTGCCTCTTGGAAACTTCATGTTTAATGAGAAGCAGTGTTTTCAGGTAGGTACTTTCCCCTTGAACTATTATAATGTGAAATAATTATGTTTAGGGAGATAAATATATTTTTTATATATCAAGTGAGATGCCTGGATAAATTCTATAAACAACACTAAATAATAAAGTACAAAATTTGCCAAAACAATATAGCACAGTTAACAGAGAGATGCTTCTTTAATTGTATGAATAAAAATATAAATAATAAGAATAGGTGTCAGATCCCTTACTTATAAATACTATGATGGTCGCACAATCCTTTAAATTTTATAAAATAAAATTTAAGAAGGCCTCGAGGCATATGGTACAGAAATTACATAACAAGTAAAGTTGCAGTGAGCCAGCTCTGATTCTGGGTTCTTTTACTTGAATGTGTAGGTAGGGAGTGTACTGTTCTCTAAAGTGGGTATCTGCCCACAGGCTCGGTTAACAGATAAAGAGCAGACTGTTAATGGTTTGCACACAGCAGGCAGAAATGATGCCGCAGCAATACTAAAGGATGTTATAAAAACTGTTTATGTTCAAGAATGATCTAAGGCAATAAATAGATCATATTTATTTTTTAAGAAAAAGGCTATTTCTCTTTTTCTTCAAGGACTGTCAGTTCACTAGATAGGATTACCTCTGGTTAAAAGTTTCTGACTTACAAACTTAGCTGGAGACCAAGTTTCAGGAGCAAAGCAAAAAACCTAATAGTACAAGCCATGCTGGAAAAAGAAGAATGACAGTCTTCACAGGTGAACTGTTGTGAAGCCATTACCAGGTAGATGGCTAAATTTTTTTAGTGGTACTAAAAATTCTGTGTTACTAAAAGCTAAGGCCATGCTATTAGCTGTCTACTATCCAGACAGAAGCAGAAAAGAACCCAAATAAATAAGTAGAACTGTGTTTTAATGTTATTTACTTGCATACTTGACATTCTTTTTAGCCCTGTTTTTTAAGCTCAAAACTAGGGTGCAGCAAATATGTGAGAACACAATAGGGGCTGGTTTTCCTTGCTCTCTCTCTCTCTGCCTGCTTAGACCTTGGACTGTGGGCTGGTCCCTGACCCATCCTTCTTCTAGGCCAGGCTCCAGCAAAGCTGAGGGG